CTGTCTTAAATGTTCAATGACATTAATACTAATAAGGGAAGGCACAAAATATCAGATATGTTTGGAGAAACTAGAATGAACTTACTTTCTGTCCCTTGAATACATGATACCAAACTGAAGTTCCCCCAAAATCGATGTGGAAATCTGTGTAGCAGCCCTTCACACTCATCAGACAATACCTATAAGAGAAAATTAAACAACAAAATAATTTACAAGATACACACTGTACAAAGTAGATATTAAGGCCACAGCATCCATAAAAATGTCTAAAAAGGAAAAGCACAGTTCAACCAATTACAAGATAGCAGTAATCTCAGTTGTGTTTTACAAAACATTAGCTACCAATAAAAATCACTCACACGAGCACTACAGCATAGAAAATTGTTCACAATAGGACATCGTTCCTCCGGAAATTAATTGGGGAATGATTAGCGCTGCGAGACATAAATGATTCACCAATTTAGCTCTGTTTATTAGAAAAAAATCTATGCACTGAGGTGTAAACAGAAATTTAAAGAAAGGAAATCTTTACACTGTATTATGTTGTGCATCCCACTGAGAGATGATGTGACCGTTTCTTGAAACAAATGAAAAGCTAGTTAGCCAGTCAGTCAGTTGTAGCAGTCTAAACAGATAAATGTCAAGATTGGTCAGTTAAGATGCTGAATGATGTGGTAGCCTTATGCCAGCTATACTTCTGCTCCATCAGGATAACAAATGACTTTGACTGCGGCAATAATGAAAAATTAGAAATCAAAAATTTCACTTGCATAAGAGAACATGACAAATCAAAGACAGACCATTATTTAAGACTGCAACTAACAGTTATTTTCATTATAAATAAATCTGCTAATTATTTTCGTGATTGGTCATACAATTGGTGGTTGAATAGTGAAAAATACCCATCAAATCACAGCTTCCTAGAGGCTGAGCTGACGTCTTCATGTTGCTAGTTTGGTGTTTTTACTCTTAAGAAACACATATAAAACATTAACAAACTACCAGTCAATAATTACATATTTCTATTGCGACATTTTGCGATTGTGACTATTTGCAAAATGTATATGATTTACAAATTTGTAAAAGGACTATTAAGCAAAGCTTACTCTGAAAATAAACAAAGCTGTACAACATATCAATACATTAAATTCATGCCCTATATTTAACATCATTATGACAGAATGATTATATGCTAAAATAGATTGAAAGACAGCAAAGAAAATTTTCAGGCAACATTGTGACAGGTAGCAGTTTACAGGGAAGCCTTCAAGCATCAGTCTGCTTACGTAAAAATTGCAAGCATAAAGATGTTTGAAAATGTTACAATAAAATAAGTGTTTCCCCACAGTTAACCTGCCATAACTTGGAACACTGTAATTTTTAATAAAGCTGAATAAGCATCATGTCTGCACCCACACGAAGCGTTCCTTGAATATTAAAACAACAGATAAACTCCACTGGTGGAAACTAACCACTAGCGGTGAAGCTGGGATGAAAACTGCTGGTTTCTGTATTATTCCATCTTTTACAGCCCAATACCTACCGCAAGCACACACCTAAGCCCAATGAGCAGTATTTTATAAATCTAATTAGAATGTAATGTCACTCAGGAAAGGGACAGACAGGGGGGAAGTGGGATTAGCAGGGTCTCTTTATGATGGGAGTGAGGAAATAAGAGCAACTATGGATAAAAGGAACAGCACGGTTGGTTTCGATTCTTAGCTATGTACTAATGCTGACAGCTGATTGGCCGAGAGGTGTCTGTGCAGTCAGACCACAGCTGTTATAAACCATCCTCCACCATTGAAAACTCTGCTGCCTAGCAACAATCAAGAGCACTTACAGGAGGTGGATAACACTGACAGTATGCAGCGCTCTACAGTGATGGAGACATTCATATGGGAGGGGAATCTGTATTTAGTACCAAGGAAGCAGAAATTTTCTCCAAGTATTTTTTATACCTTGTTCTACACCTATTTTTTTACTTTGACTGACACACAGCTCCAAAGAGGACTTTGTCAAAACAGACACACAATTGAGTTATTTCATACCTTTGCACTTTAGGGTACTTCATCTCTGAGATTACATTAGTGGCTTCTGTTTGACTTTGTTTCAGATCAGGAGGCCACATGTTGTCCACCCAGTCAACTTGATCCACCTGTGGGAGCAGTCAAAACAGCACTTTTAGCCATCAATCAGTGCTGTTAGTCAAACTGACTTTGATTATGGCACCAGGTTTATTACCTTCATATAACACTTCACAACATCAGGTGGACTAACTTAATTATTATTGTTTATTTATTATTAACAATTTATTTAATATCAACAATGACCTAATGGACACATGAATTTCCCCTAGGGGATAAATAAAGTATCTATCTATCTATCATACAGAGAGTGTCTGTTATGTTACCACTGTGGGTCGCTTGATGAGGTTCTCCAGCTTAGTGTGGCTGAACTCTAAGCTAATGACATTGAAGAGTTTGTCCCGCTCTTCCTCTGGCGTCTCATAATACCGGACAAACTGAGCCATGCTCATTTCAGAGCCTTTCTGAGTGCTCACATCCATGACATCCACAGACCGACGACTGCCTGCAAGAAACATCCCGGACACAAGGTGAAATTAACTGACTCATTACCATGTGATACAATCTGTCTGCAAGGTGGAATAAAGAGAATCACATGCTATTTGAGATTTATACACAGAAAATTTGTATTGTTCACATTTGATAAGATTCCAACATGAATAACTGCAGTATCTCACATGTAATTCATCATCTATTCCACTAGGTGGAGCAACTACACCCCAATCGTGCTTTCAGGTTTCACTTTACAGGGTTGCATCTTAGTGTATTCTAAAATAATTATAGTTGGAAAATTGTCTGATCATGTTGTTTAATATATTAATAACAGATTTTTAAAAAATGTGCAAGATACTAGATGTAAACATATAGTTTTTAAAGTATTACATAGAATGTCCCACAGTAAGTGGACATGGACACACACACCTACTTTGACCATCCATCACCCATATACTGTAAAAACGACAGGCAGATAAACAGAGACAGCCAGGAGTACAGTGTGTTCACTAATTAAATAACAACATAATAAATCAACAACAGTGTTACCGGTGTAACAAGATATATAATTTGTGTAATTTAAAAATACTGCAACTACGACCTTTTACTTCTTTGTGAATTATGTCCACCTGCCTGTTTACTTTTAGCAATACTTATTAGTTTTGGTGCTTACTTTTCTTTTGAATGAGCACTATCATACAAAAAAACAGCAGCTTTTTTTTTTACACTGGATTTTACACTTTCTTCCACTACTTTTCACAGGCTTTGAACTCACTGTCCCAACCACGAGACAGATATTAAAAATAATAATTTATTATCATTCAATCGTTTTGCTCACTCACTCACTAACCTACACAGTTGTTACTCCACCAGCTCTTATTCTCTGGTTTGGCAGCTGGGATACTTTCTCCCTTTCAGATGCACCAAATTGCTACATCAGTACACATGCATGGATTAGCTTTATTTTGAGTGTGTGTGTGTGTGTGTGTGTGTGTGTGTGTGTGTGTGTGTGTGTGTGTGTGTTGTTTGTAGCATTCAACTTACCAACTAAACCTTTAATTTCACTAACTGTGAATTCTGGATCAGGCATTCTATGTGAATCAAAGACAGGGATAGATGACATTCAGTTCATCTGTTACATGGACTGCCAAATGGCTAAAAACGCAAATATACAGCAAGTACTGTCAAAAGTTATTCTTAATAACTATCAGTAAACAGGTCGATGGCTTCTCACCTGATCCCTAGTCCATCTTTCTCTTTAAAAATGAGTGGGATCCTGAGAGCCTCCCTTTGCACATACTCATAAGTGAAGTCTGCAAGACAGTGAGTGTGTGTTTTACTCCAAAGCATTTATAGAAACAAGCATTTATAGAGGTGAAAAAAAGAAAGTCATGCATCTTGCTGGACAGATATCTGCTTGTATTGCAATAACAACAGAGCTATAACTGATCAAAAGAAAATATAGTGTTATCAATGTTATATTACCTTTGCCCTCCATCAGGTGGACAAAGTTTGCGTTGTAACTGTCACTGACGAGCTTTTCCTCCACGCTGAAACCTCTGATGTTTGTAATTTCTTCAACGTCAGACAAATCCTCGTTTTCGTCATACATCCTCCGGCAGATGGAGCGCTGCCATTGAAAACGAGATGATTTAAATGACAAAACTGAAACACGAGTGCAGAGCGAGCTCATACTGTCACAAAGGCCCCTGTCTGTATATAAACAGACCGTATGACTTGTGCAGAGTGACTTAAAATTATTTTATTGCAAACTCAAAACTGGATGAAGAGGGGAGTTTTTTTTAATAGTACGTTACGTTACTGCAGTAGCATCGTTTTTTCTTAACTGTGACGTCAAGTACAATAACCATTAAAAGACACTTGTCCTGGGAGAAGGCAGCTGTGTTTGTTGGTACGTTATCCCATAACGATAAATGTAAAATGTTTGCAAGATTTCACTGATTTAGATGTTGGTTTATCTTGTTTTAACTAACGTACGCTCGCTGAACTATTATGAAGACAAAATAAGTTTTAAAATCTAAAATGACAGGTCTATCGTTTTTTCTTTCATGGGCTCTGACTTGAACAGCTTTAGTGACTTGACAAATATCCCAACGGTTGTAGTTGCAAGCGTTAGCTTAGCTAACTAATTAGCTCGCTGCCAGTCTCGCTTCATAAGCTAACGTTAACACGGCAGATGGTACACACCAGCCTGCGTCCAGATTCAGCACACGTTTCCGCGGGCTGTGCCATCGTCTCTTGTGAATGTTTTCCAGTCACTCAGTTTCGGGAAAGCATCTTCGTGCGTGGCGAAGTTAAAGAAGCACTTTAGCTACACGCTTTTCAGGTTCAAAACAAGGGAACCATGTTTTTGTGTATTACGTCATCGTCAGGAACCAAAACATTGTAGGACAGCGTCACTGCATGTCAGTCCACCGCTTTTCATCTGCTTTTACAAACCAGGAAACCAATCAACTACACCGTACAAGACACTGTTTGTTTTTACCCGAACTAACACCGTTACCTGTAACGAATTATTCGCGAATGGCGCGATTCACTATGGAAGGTAGAACAAGCGATAACGATCTTGTTACCTAAAAAATGCAGCTCTTACTCATTTTCATTCATTTTAACAGTAATAATAATTTCTGTGCACTGGACGTGGCGTGAATGACGTGGACGGGTGTCACAGTGCCTTCAACCGTTCAAGTTTTTTAATTTTTTATTTCATTTTACAATTACCACACAACGAAGGTGGTAATTACACCAGTATTACCTCGAGGCTAAGATGCAACCCCCATTACTGAGCAAATATGCAGTCAACAGTTCACTTAGTAGCGGATGTTGTCCTTAGAGCGCACAGACTTGTGGGTAATGCAAGGTGCAGGCACGCTGGAGACTGGTGGTGAAAAAATAGCTTCCGCAGTTCCGTCAGCTGGCGAGGGTAAATGTTTTGTAAGAGTACACTGTTAGCATGTTGAACGCTTGTTTCTGTCGCGTCCTGCAAGAGTAACAAGATAACTACACCGGCCCTGCTCGTCCAGTCCTCTGTTAAAAGGTACAAGATGAGTCTGAACGAGCATTCACTGCAAGCACTGTCCTGGAGAAAGCTGTACCTGAGTCGAGCTAAACTGAAGGCTTCTAGTCGGACATCAGCTCTGCTTTCTGGATTTGCTATGGTAACGCTGTCTCCAAAACTATCCTCTGACTCTTATGTATGAATGAACCAGTTATATCCTACAGTAGTGAGTTGTATAAAGTTGTGTTTCCTGTTCTCTTCCTTTACAGGTGGCAATGGTAGAAGTGCAGCTGGACAACAGCTATCCTTACCCACCTGCTCTCCTTATCGCCTTCAGTGCCTGCACTACTGTCCTTGTGGCTGTTCACCTGTTTGCTCTGATGGTCAGCACCTGCATTTTGCCCAATATAGAGGCTGTCAGCAATGTCCACAATCTCAATTCTGTGAAGGAGTCTCCACATGAGCGAATGCACCGTCACATTGAACTAGCTTGGGCTTTTTCCACAGTCATTGGTACACTGCTCTTCCTAGCTGAGGTGGTTCTACTCTGCTGGGTCAAATTTTTACCTGTTAAGCCCAACAAGTCCAGCAATAATACAGTTTCATCTGGTGTGGCTGCTGCCATTACCTCCACCTCTATCATGGTCCCTTTTGGTTTAGTCTTCATAGTCTTTGCTGTGCATTTCTACCGCTCTTTGGTCAGCCACAAGACTGACAGACAATTTCAGGAGCTGGAGGAGCTTTCTAACCTCACCAGGCTTCAAAATGAGCTGGACAACAGAGGGGAATCTTCCATCTTGCAGTCTCCAAGCTCACATTTCCCATAGAAATGTATGATGGATACAGATCTATGGTGGAACTCTAACTCCTTGGAGTCTCTCCAAGCCAGAAGCCACATTATTGGTTTCTCTTCTTTTTTTCTTTTTTTTTACAGGAATGAAGTTGTATATCTCACCTCTTTGTTGTGAAATTTACTTTTGTGAAAAAAGTTGTATTTTTAGAAGACATGTTTGATCAACTGTGAACTCACAAATCTGCCATAATGCATGTAACTTGAAATTGGAGAGTCTTAACTGTGATAGTTGCTTGATTTATCTCTTACATTATGGCAGAGGCATCTGAACAATAACATGGAATCCTGTCTGTTGCCTGCTGCACCTATTTAACTGTTTGTCAGTGATCACTGTGTTTGTTAATATATATTACCTTGTTGTGTTTTGTAAACCACGAGTATTTAACTCTTTCTTCCTTGTTCACAGTGTATATGTTATTGCAATGTTCGCAATGTGCATTTGTAATGCCTGTTGTTTGTGTAGACTAACTCAACAGCTGCCAAAACTACAGTATTATTTGAGTATATTTGCTGACATATTGTAGCAAAGGCTGTGGCGCTATAATAAATACTTTTTTTTTACCAAGTGGCATTCAAAGTTTCCGAGTTTAGAAAATAATTTGAATATACTGAAAACATATCTATGCTACTTACATATAATTACTGACACAGGCTACATGAATCACATCTAGAACATTTTAAGTTACAGTGATGAGAAGATTTAAACAACAGTTAGTTCCGACCAAGTAATTTGATTGGACGAGGGGTATTCCATGAGTGCTGACAGAGAATATAACAGCACTGGGACTTTTAACTACATGTATCACTCCGCTTCACAGATGTTTTATTAACCATTAGCTAGTGTTACATTAATGGTTGTTATCTATGTTAGATTATAACACATTTTGTACCGCAAAAATGAATATATTTCCAGAAATAACATTCAAATTAAATTATGTGTGGTCGTCAGAAGAGGATGAAGGGAAGAAGACGGGATACTTAAGTGCATTCCTGAGGTAACAGACAGACAAAATAGCAAGGTAGTGTGCACTGTGCAGGTCAGGAAAATGTTTTTGTGTTACTTAGCAGCAGTCCAGTACCACTCCAGTTGCAAAACTAGGCCTATTTGTGTTGGTGTAGCCAAATGAATGATAAAATAAACTAACAAATCATATTCTGTCTTATTTAACTAATATGGCACTTGTTTAAGTGTTTTATAAAAGTTTGATTGTATTCAGTACTCAGGCTGCGGCCTCGTACCTATGACTGACTCACAGCCGTGCTGATATTCAGTACATCACTCCTCGTGTGATATTGCTTAATTAACACATATCTGCTTAGATCATTATCCTTGCTGTATAACCAGCTGAGCAGGTCCCGTCTGATGGGTGAATTTTCATTTATATTGTCGACACTTAAGCTTTTTAAAGAACTCTGACTCGTTACACCTCCACAGAGGTTACATTTTGACATCAGTGGAGTACTTGTTGATATTAGACACTAGTGTTCCTCTGTGCTTCATTTTGTAAAGCCAGAGCACTGCACTTGTCTCACTTATCCTGAATTAGCATGTTTCTTTCATCATTCACTCTTAGTACCCATGGAGTGCTTTCCCATCAAACTGATGTTTATTCTAACTTAATTTAACTGGGGATTTATTCCGAACAATCTGATAAATCTGAGTTAGCAGTCTGTATAGAAGTTCAGATGTGGCTGGAGATCCATTCAGAAGTTAAGGTATTGGAAAGCAGGAAGTTGATAGGTCCTATCTGGTCATTTTAGGAGGCGGTTGTAGGTGCAGATATTCCATCATAATTCCATTTTCTTTCAGGCTGGTTGTGGGAGCAAGTATTTGAATGATTAGATGAACAGTTAAAGTATGAATAGAACACAGTATCAGAGCTTTCTTATTTAATAATTAAGTGTGGCTAGTTTACAAGTTCACAGGGACTATCAGAGTGTACAATTATTGTCAGAATGCACCATATAGAATATGCAGTAAAGCCTAATAGTTGACCAGTCCCTGCAAGTAAAAAATAAGAGGCCTTGTCATTTAGATGTCCCACATATACTACCACTGAATTTATGACCTGCTTTGATCGCCTTTGGTTGTGTGTTTGCATTAGTATCAAGCAGGTCTAATGTAGAGAATTTGTTAAATCATCAGCTATTTTTTTCAAATACATAGTTTGATACTAAGTTAGGAACCCTAGATCTGAGCTGTTCTATAATGTGATAGACAGTTAGCAGCAAGCCTTTTATTGTCATCACAGTTGTTTGCTCACCTGCATTGGAAGTAGACTGGATTAACATGTAAAATTTCATAACTTTTGCTTTCAGCACATTTGAAATAGTTGTAGATGATTTTGGTTTTCTCCACAGTGAAGAACAAATGATTTGGTTGTAAATATTTGGACAAACTGAACATGCTGAATAACATCATGCCATTTATTTTTTTAATTTTTTGTCTGTGTATGGTGGGGTGTGGAAACTTGCTGTTGATCCACTTGTTGTTGTTCATCGACACTGATCAAGATAGGCTGACTGGGCTTCCCCTAAAACCAACTGCATATCCACCAGGTGTATCTTGAAAAAGAAGATATGTTTATATTTTAATCCACAATACTGCATTTGCTGTCCATGATTATTTTGTCATGTAAGTTTTGACAGAGCATGAGGAAAATATATTCAAAAATTAAATGCATGGCTCTAATAGTATCCACAGTCATAGTGGCGTACCTGTGGAATTGGATACTTCGTTGGGGTTGGTGCTTCATCCCTCCCAAAATCAGACAGCGTCCCACATTTTGCTACTCCTTTCACCCAAAAGCCTTCATAAAGCTGGCCTTTGTCAGAATAGTAGTACTTTCCATTACCGTTCTTCTTGCCATCTTGCCACGCACCTTCATACCAGTTTCCATTTGCTTGGACACAGGTTGGAAAGTAAAGTTTTCAAATTCACAAAATTTCCCTACTAAATTATAGTTTTATTTTTGATTAAAAAAAATGTATGCAAAGCAAATTGCTCTTACCAAATCGAATGATGCCTTGTCCATGATTCTTATCCTTCATCCACTCTCCCTCATAGATATCTCCATTCTCATAGTACATTCTTCCCCAGCCACTCCGTTGGTCCTCACTCCACTCCCCTTCATAAACTGCTGAGTTATTGTAGAAGTACGTCCCATACCCCTGAAGGGATAGAAAGTGATGCAAAACATCACAGAGTGTAATTACATTTATTTGTCATGTCTGGCAGTATGTCCGATACATACATGCTTCTTTCCGTTTTTCCATCTTCCACAGTACTTCCTTTCATACTCCTTTGTTTCTGGGAGGAGTACACTGTAGGTACCATATCCATCACGTTTTCCGAACTTCCACTCTCCATTATAAATGGCACCAGACGTCTTCCAAACCTGTGTTCCCTTTCCTTGAAAAGATTAAGAAGCATAAACAATTTAGCTATAGTGTAACCAAACTATATAATAATTCACAACCAGGTGTTCACAAATTTGTCAGTACTCAGTGGACACTAACACTACACAGCATCTAACCATGCTTCTTGTTGTCCTGCCATTCTCCAGTGTATGCATTTCCATTGACAGAGAAAACTGTGTGCCGCAGTCCGCATTTCTGTGACTTAAGATCCAACAGTGTTGAATTCTTTTTATTTGTTTTAATATATGGCATGGCTGGAGGTAGCTTGATGAAAACCCTGATGAAAAACATAAAAATAAAACATGTTAGACCCATGAAGCTGTGCAGTTTTGCCAATTTTGCCCAAAATTGACAATACTCTAACAAAAGGAGAAAAACTTAAATGCCCCTCTTGGCCAGAAATGCAGAAAATTAAATTTATAAACATTGCCAGCTAACAATTGCATATAATAAATGATAAGTTACAAAATATGAGCTAACTAACAAAACAATCAAACAGAAAAATCATCCCTTTCCTATGTGTTTACTATCATCGCAGCATGTCTTTTCATTGATTTTATAAAAACAATGCTGATAAAATGTCCTGCAAAAACAAGAAAACAGAGTGCAGACAAATGCGTAGGTCAAATGCGCATTTCAGAGTTAAAGTTAGATTTGGCTATATTAGCTTGTTTGCTAGAAGGTCCATCTAACGCCATCTAGTTACTCGTCTAGTTAGCATTACTAACTAGAAACATTGTAACTTAACATCGGGCAAATTATGATGTCAACCACTCATACAAATCAAAGTACTAATACCTTAGCGATGTCTTCAAGCGGATGACTTAATTAAACTCAATCCGCTTGTAAACTCGGGGCAAGTAGCTACTGAATAAATGAAGAGAACGTCCTGGCAGTGCGGAGTTTAGCTGGTGTCATGAGTGTATTATTCGTTGTATCCTAGCAACACAATTGCGTTGGTGCAGTGTAACTTAAATTAAAAGTTAATTTTAAATTAGTCAAATGCTTATGACAGCTACAGCTTATATGCATTTTTTGTAAAAAAAAAAAAAAAAAAAAAAATTATTTTAGATAAATTTGTAGTCACTTGTGTGTCCAGGTTACGTTCAGCTACAACAGTTGTCCTGGCAGTGGTTTACGATGTGCGCATGCTCCGTGCAACCCAACTAAAAGATCGGCTGAGTGGATGGTCAGTCTGAGTGAGGAGAGACTCAGGCTGCAGCCGTCCTCTTCGCTTCACCAGCTACTGCACCACAATGTCCAAACCGAAGTTCCAGACGGAGTGGGAGGAAATTGACGAGGAATATCAACAGTTACAGGTGACAGACAACACTACAAACGAGCACATCATCGTGTATGGTAGATTTGTAGTGTTTCGTGGATGGTACTGACAGTAGATACTGTAGTGGCTACGTTAGTTTGGCTGGCTCTTTCCTATTCGCCATTCATTCTCAGATCAGCCTTAAACGCAGCATCGAGCCAAAAACGGCGGTATTGGTAGCAATATCTGTGGGATGGGTTATGTTTCACTGGGGATTTATTATCTTCGACTTTACTGTAACATCCCTATGTTTTAGCCGCTAACGTTAGCAGCAGGTTGCTTGTCTTGCTGCTAGTGTGTGATGCGGCTAATAAGCAGCTACAGTAACTTAGCTAACCACACAGTGCGACGGATTAATGTTTTAAACGATCGCAACAAAAGTTACTTACAGGTTGTAAACTACACGTGTTTGTTACTGTTGCTTTGCCAGAATAAATTATTTCATTGTCACTGAAAGCATCCCCATGCATCATTACCACGCTAGCTTACCTTAGCTAGCTGGCTAACTTGAAACAACAATATAAGTAGTAGGTGATAGGATAGGACTGACAAGATAATCATTTACTTTGAGGTACAACAGGCGTCATGTGGTCTGTGGTGCCACCCCTCTCCTCATGCTGGCATCACACAGCTGCGACGTGGATCTGTGATGCCATCAAAATTTATAATGTGGAGCTGGTCCACAGGGAAAGATGATGAAGGTGACTGTCAGCTGTCTAGGGATTTTCTTAAATGAAGCTCACATGTTTTGGTGAATAACTGATGTCAGATATTTAACCTGCATAGAAACAGTCTCCCATTCATAGTCAGCTGCATCCTTCTAGATTTGATATCTTTACATCTGTGACTTTTCAGGTTCAAATCTTAACTCTAGTGTCAGTGTGTTTGAATAGACTCGACCATGTACACATTGTTGATCGACTTTTAGTAAACCCTTGGAAAGATACATCTCTTTTAAAATGGCTGTTTGCATGTTAACATTATTGATGAGAAAAAAACTGTGATGTGACATACATACGTTGTAAACATAAATTCTCAAAATTTACTAAACTTAAAACATGGATTGCACAAAAAAGTAGTAGCTCGTGTAGCGAGTCCATAGCCTTCCCCAGTGTTTAATTTAGTGCATGAGCCAGTATATTTTGTTTTTACTTTTAGAAAATGCAAACTACATAAAATGCAGCTTGTACTAAGATGGTGTACTTTTAAACCACTTTTCCCAAAACTAATTTTCAACCAGGCCTACAGTAGGCCTTACCTAGATGACAAGAAAGATACAGTAGCTGACAAAACACCTTTGTTCGGACCACTTCTCCCATTTTGAATTTTTCAATTGTTTTTTGGTCTTGGATTCTTGATTCTTGGTCTTGGATTCTTGACAGATTCTTGACATGATCCCATCCTGATCTTTCTAGAGTCTAGATATGAGAAAATGTGTAGGAAGTTGATAATGACAAGGGCTCACGTGGCTGTGCAAATCATTCTTGGGGAGGGGGAATGGGCTCGAGTTCTTAACCTCACACCACAGGATTATGTCTGCTGATATGATGATGTACATCCTCTCCTCCACACACTCATTGCTGAAGGGGAAAAAATGGGGAAGCTTTGGTCTGGTCTGCCAGCACAAATGCATGTAAACTGTATTTCACCACATAAGAGTATTTGGATGGAAGGGTGAAACAAGATTTCACAGCATGGAGCATTTCCATCTCTACTGATTAGAGACTCTGTTCACCAAAAGCTTTACAGTGTGGTCCACTGAGAACATTGAAATTTTGGGAAAGATTTTGGTGGGATCAGGATCCATTTTCACTGTTTAAAAGAAGTGTTACAGTAGTACAGTAGTACCTAATTTGCATAAATGTACATTTAAATGACCTATTTCCCATTTGTCAGAGCAAGCAGACTTACAAATGTTCACTTTGTGCATTTGTTTGATCCTCAGGAAACTCACAAAATATACAGGCAAAAACTTGAGGAGCTCACCAATCTTCAGACAACATGCAGCAGCGCCATCAGTAAACAGAGAAAATGCCTAAAAGACCTAAGGCACTGCTTGAGCAAGTAAGTATATTCCAGTCCAGCTCATGAGCCAGTTCGAGTTGCTGTTAAGAAATTGCATGTGAAGTGCTTTTGGTTAAAAAAAAAAAAAAAAACCCAACAAAACCATAACCCTGTGGAGTGGGTGCAAGAAAGTTTTTTTCTTTTTTTTGTCAGCAGTCAAGGAAATGGTTTTGCAGCCAAGTCAGCAAAGAGGAGGAAACAGTTTATGATAACTCAAAATCACCCTCAGTGGAAAAGACAAGTAGTCGAGGCAGAGTTAATTGAATTGAACAGTGTATGTTTATGTTCCCTATGAAAATAAATGGTCTGCGGGTTTTTATTCCAGTGCTGCTGTTTGTGGGCATCATCTTCATCAAGTTACACACTTTGCAAAATGAAATATATAAAGATCTGTAGTCAATATCTGCAGTATTTGAATTATCATCTCTTACTTGACACATATATCATAAATATTAATCTTATCACAAGGAGAGTTAAGGTGTTCTTCATCTTCTTGTTCACTTTTCCTCTCATCATCATTTGGTCTCTTCTTTACAGGTGTGCAAAAGCATGTGACGAGAAAGACCTGAAACTCATAACAGACATCAAAATGCAAATCAAAGATAAAGAAAATGTGTTCTTTGACATGGAAGCATATTTGCCAAAGAAGAACGGGTCAGTACTTTTTCATGTCGGCAATGCATCATGGACAGTGAATTTTATTTCTCATATACATTCATGTGTATATTTTTGCTTTGCTTTGTTTCCAGACTGTACTTGAATTTGGTCCTGGGCAATGTGAACGTAACGCTTCTCAGCAACCAGGCAAAGTACGTGAAGCACTCTGCCGTGAGGACGGCCTGAAAAGACACTTTACACTCTGGATTTTGTCCATGTTTATGGTCAGCTGCTCATTTTCTTCTCGTCTTCTGATTATTCACATAGATTTGCCTATAAAGATGAGTATGAGAAGTTCAAGCTATATATGACGATAATCCTGATGTTTGGAGCCATAACCTGCCTCTTTTTTCTCAACTGTCGGTGAGTTTATGTTTTCCCCTCAAGCATATTTGTTATTGTTGTTGATGTTGGCACTTATTAAAGTGTGACTCACTATTTTGCTCTCTTTGTTTTGTTTAGTGTCACTGATGAAATCTTCAACTTTTTGCTAGTGTGGTACTACTGCACATTGACCATAAGGGAAAGCATCCTCATGAGCAATGGCTCCAGGTGTGTTGTGCTGTTAATTCAGATATGCTACAGTCAGCTGAAACTGAAGTAAAACTACTGGAGTGCTTGTTCTTGATTTTTTTCTTTTTGTTTTTTTTTATTGAAGATAAGATTTACGATTTCTCTTCAGTGATTTTTTTTAAGTGCTTGCTGAATTCCTGAAGTATACAGTTGTAACTTGTTTACCTGTCTTTCCTTCATCTCCTCACATACTCTCCTCATGCTTCCCAGGATCAAAGGTTGGTGGGTGTCTCACCATTATGTATCCACCTTTCTGTCAGGTGTGATGCTTACCTGGTGAGTTTTTGTCTTTGATTCCTTAGTGTCACATTGTTCCAGTGATCATATTTGAACAGACATGTCCAAGTTAGCGACTGCTGAGGCAATAAGGCTACTGTGTAAGTGTGAGTGTAATTTTTGTGTAACTTTGTGTCTTCTTACAGGCCGGAGGGCCCCATGTATCAGATGTTCAGAAGTCAGTTTCTTGCTTTCTCCATCTATCAGAGTAAGAATTTTAAATCTTTTTACAAGACTTTGTGGGAGGTTACATTTGTGTGTACGTTTGTGGGCTCTCTGAGGTGTGGGTGACAAAGGGTAATGTTGAAATTTGTTTACACTAGGGTTGAGGTTTGATGTCATGCCAGTGTTGAATCTGCACATCAAATCGGTTCAGGTAGTTTGTTTGGTGGGAGACAGTTTTTTTTTTTTTGTTAAAATAATGTGTCGCTTTTTAGCACTGTGCTGGGCCTACCTGAAGAAGAGCTGGTTGCACTGACAACAGTAGGTTGTGCGTGCCTTGTAGCAAACATAGGATTTCAGTTTTTTTGTTGTTGTTGTTGTTGTAACCACATTCTGAAACATCTGAGGCGCTCTGCCAAGTTCACTCAAGTTCAGGCCGTCTACTAAATAAGCCTGTTCATTTCTTGATTAATTGATAAACTGTTTGTCTATAAAATGGCAGAAAATAATAACATGCCTAATATAATTTCCCACAGTCCAAAGTGATGTCTCCAGATGTCTTTTGTCTGGCTAACAGTCCAAAAACCAAATTGATTCAGTTAACTATAAGAAAAAAAAAGAGAAGCAGCAAAGTCTCACATTGGAGAAGCTGCAACCAAAACAATGAATTGATTATTAAAATAGTTGCCAGGGAATTTTCTGTCCATCAACTCATAGGCTGGTCATTTCAGTTGTACCTGAATGTGCTGTAAGAGAATAATTACACTTTGAGTGTGAGTTTTTAATCTGTTTTTTTTTTTGTTTGTTTTTTTGTTTTTTTTACTAAAATTGCCAAAGATGACACAACTCTGCAAAGCTGGACAGTCTTTCAAAATGCAGTTATCCATCCTCTGTACTCATGATGAACACTTTTCAACTGGTATACAGATGTATACTGTTTATACTAGATTTCGAAACTCTCTTCCCATGTTGGATGCTGTCACTCTGTAGACCCAAGCTATGATAGTGCACCGAGGCCAGAGCAGGTCAAGGGCAGGATCACCTGCAACATACATTTGTCATGTAACAGTGAAATATCCTTGATATTGTCGCTTTTTTTTTTTTTTTTAATATATAGACACATTTAAGCTGGTAAATGGAGATGTCATTAATTAAGCTTATACATTTTTAGCATGAATTATAATATGCTTCTGCGAACAAGCAAGGCCTTCTGTGAAAATGTCTTGTCACCAAAATAGAGAAGTGAAGTCATGTCACATACCGGTGGTTACAGTCATTGTTCAGTATATCACATGCAGACTCATAATGAGACATATAATGTGATGGGGCTCTCTGGTCACGGTTTTTGTATGGTAAGTCAAATGTTTAAGTAGTACAGAAAAAGAAAGAAAAACCTCACCTGACAAATTCAGGTTAAACTGAGATCATCTTTGTTGTGTTGTGTTGTGTTTTTTTTAGGGCAGAATGACCCCATTTCATTGTGTAAAGCTTCACATCACAGGCTTCTGTTTACTTTGTTTTTTACTCACATTTTATGGGGAAGGTAACGGATGTTACTCTAGTGATTGAGGCATGAAGTAGGTCATCCGAACCTCATTGATCTGTTCACATTAATTGTGCAGTAATCTGTAAATTGTGTGATCCATTGGTCCTGCAGGCTTTGTTCAGTTCCTCCAGTATTACTACCAGAGCGGCTGCTTATACCGGCTGCGAGCTTTGGGAGAGAGGAATCAGCTGGACCTCACAGTGGGTAAGTTGTAAGCTATTCTGGGTGGTAGTCATTTCATTCATTTGAACTCTTGAGCCATCTGTAACGCCATGTCTTGAAAGAAAAAAAAAAAAAAATAGGGTAAAGGTGAGAGATGGAGACAGTTGTTAACATCACAGTGCTGCCAGGCAGATGTCGGAGTAACTCGAGTAAGGTCTCAGTGGATTTGCTGCTCAAACCATCTTTAATGTCAGAGAGGACTGACACCGCAGCGATCGTTTGTGTAGTATTCTGTGTCATGTTGTCCCAAGGTCACTGTTACAGTTCCTCTGTGTCTCTGCAGAGGGATTTCAGTCCTGGATGTGGAGAGGCCTCACTTTTCTTTTGCCATTCCTCTTTTTTGGCCATGTAAGTCAAAACAAAAGTTTCTCTTCTATTTTGTTCAACATCAAACTAGAGCTTTATCACCTTACTCCAATATTTTTAAAATCATGAGCACATTGCACAAGATCATGTAAGCTCCTCGGTCAGTGCCACAACACATTCTTTATTTGTTATTTGATCTGTATTAAGTGCACTTAAAATGTTTCTGTTTTAAGAGCATGTAGTTCAACAAATGTACTCTTTTTGATATCAACTGTATCACCTGAGGAGAAAGGTGTGGACCAAAGGGAAATTAGCTTGTGCAACGAGTGTGCAGCAACTTTATGAAAGATAATGCCTCCTGTTCCTTTTCAGTTTTGGCAGCTGTACAACTCAGTGACCCTGTTTCGCTTGGCAGGACATGAGGACTGTAAGGAGTGGCAGGTAAGGATTTCATTGACAGGTCTATCACTTAAATGTCAAAAGACATGTCGAGGCAGATTTTGAAAAAAAGACTTAGTTTGACAGGCTTTCTGTAAAGAATAATTCATGCATTTTGCCTGTCTGTATCTAAGCAGTGTCCACAAATGCACAGTTGGGGCCATAATGAGAGTTTGCACTACAGGTTGTTTAAGTTTAAGTTATATCTACTTATCTAGATGTGCAGCCTCATGCCGCACACTTGCTTGTCTTGGTTTCTGGACACAAATAAACTTAAAGTGAAGTCAGGTGCAGTGTTTGGAAGACTTTTATCTCCACCTGCCTCAACGTGTCCCAACCCTTCAACATTTCAAAATACAAATGAAGTTATAAAATTGCATGTCACGACTTGTTTTGAAATCAAACACTGTTTCCCTGTTTCCTTTCAGGTATTCATGCTGGCACTGACATTTCTCGTCCTATTCCTGGGAAATTTTCTTACCACAGTAAAAGTTGTCCACCAAAAAATTCAGAAAAACCAGGAAAAGGTGCAAAAAAATGACTGAGACTCATCGAGACACCACAGATTCCTCAAACGGCCAGTAATTCTGAAGCAACATGCACAATCGCTTGTTAGACTGACCACAGTACGGTCAGGCCGGGAGACGACCAAGCTGAAACCACTGTTTCTCTCAGGCTTTGAGTACAACAGCGGCGTCCAGCCAGAGTTATCTGGCGAACAGGCTTTTGCTTTCTAATGACTCGTCGTTGTTGTTGATGTTGCTGCTCAGTCGGTCCCAACACGCAAAGTGTTGTTCACCTCATAGATGAACAGTTTGTCGCTTTATCCTGTACATAAAAAGTGAGTGGAAAGGATGCGTTTTATTTGGGTGTTTGTGTCAGTGCATGAATCTGTCTGAGAGCCTTTGTTCAAATCATATGCAACTAAAAGAGGGCAGGTAGCATCAATGAACAGAGCAGAATATAGTTTGCCTTTGAAGACCTAACGTCTGTCATGTACATACTTCATACTTCTGTGAAGTAGTAACAGTCAAACTGTCTCTGGCTCGAACTAACTTGGACACGTTCAATTCGGCACTGCGACGTAGTCGTCACCTCCTCGTTGTGCTATTTCACTGCTAACAAGTCGTTTTTTTACTAGACTTTTATTCTCAGAAATAACAAATGTAGGTCTTTCCAATTTAAAACAAAAAAAAAACAAACAAAAAAAAAAACAAAAACCTGATACTTGACTGCCCAGAGTTACCTTCAGTTTCATGGGGGGAAAAAAAGTCTCCATGTGGTATATTTTTTCCAGTCTAGAGTCAGCGCCTGCTCTGTTTTTGTTTTTTTTCTTCCTAGAAAGACACAGGACGACAAGGGAATGCAACACTGTTGTTCCCTTCAGGCAGTGGTTACAAAAGACATAAATGTTTATGTATGATCCGATGCCTAAACGTGGTTATCTGGCTAAGTCACATGAACAAAAACTCTAAAAAAAAACTGTTCCCATTAAGGATTGAAGGAGGTTTTCATGTGAGCTCCTTCCTAGCAATTTCAACTTTTATCTTCTCATTAACATAATGCTAACGAACTGTAGTATATGCCTAGGTTTATCATGTTTCACTAATGGTCTAAATTTTTACTGGTATAAGAAGAGCTTCAAGCTTATTAAACATTTTATCACAAAGGTTTAAATTCAGTTTAACACTTGAAGTCCATGCACAGTGGATTTGTCATCACTGTGCTGCCAGGTCCCACTTTGTTCTGTAATGTTGCATAAATGTATTATGATCCAAACGCTGCTATTGGCACTGGTACTGTAAGACTATGATACACAATGATGATTAATAATGTGCTGGATTATAGTTTTTCTTATTCCAATCAACACACTGAATTTAATATGTGTACAAATTAATTTATGGCCAATTCTGGAGCTTTTGCTCTAGTTCACTGTAGTTTTGTCTGGTTCACATTTCACGCTTGTTTGAAAGTATTACACAAGAGTCTTTTTGTTTTTTCAGCGGCGGGTCAGGTGGGTTCAAACAGACAGCTGTAGTGGTGTCAGGTCTCTGTTGCCTTATTCTCCCTCTGGTCTGTCACAGCAAAAAAAAAAAAACCCTGCTCCTTTTTATTTAGAAAATCCAAAGACTTTGGCGTTACATTTCTCTACCTTTTTGTTTTTCCACTCATGCAGTCATGGTCCTGAAGAGAATCACAGTATTTATGTATCACTTTTATTGAGGGAAAATTGAAGCATGTTGAGTTACAGACCAAAATGTTACATTTGATGCGAGAGCTGCCAGAATGCACAAAACAACTTCCTCGTTTTTATGACGTATCTGATGTTAAACAATGTTTTCATCGTTCATTTCAAGACTGTAACTGGTGCCTGAAAAAGATCAGTAACAACAGACAGTTGACAATTTCTCTATCTGTGTACATTGTTGTAAAAAAAATATTAATAAACACCTAATAAAAAAAATTTAGCTTTTCCTGTTTCTTGTGCAGTGAGACACAAACTGTGACACATTCCAGTTTTTCAACACTAGTGGGCGCTGTTGGTAAAGGTAAGAGCCCTGTTTGAGTTGATGCAGTTTCAAAACAAATTCCAGCCCAGTTTTTTTGTTTTACTGGAAATGAACTAACCCTGTTGGGTGTTTATCAAGTTTTTTCTTGTTCTTCTCAATACTTTTAAAGCTACAGTGCCATTATGAGTAGAATTTCATCAACTATTTTATCAGGGCATTTTGTTACCAGCAGATTTTGAATCAGATCTTGAACTGACACCATAAAAACTTAAAAGTTGCAAAAAATCCAAGTTGACATTATTTTGACAGTTGACAGAATTTTTTGTTCAAATTCCTCCAATAAATATACTTTCCAGTAAAACACATTAGTTTGCAAACAGTGCAAAGTTTTGTAATAGAAAAAATATATAGAAAATAATATTCTTATACAAGTGAAAAATACATTTACTAAAAGCATTTCAAGTCGTATACCACGTTAGAAAATCTCCACACTGCAACTTCTTGCAAAATTGTCTTTCCTGTTGCGTCATTTTTGTTTGACGGTAAAGGGAGACACGCTCATGATTCACTGGGGCCCACACCTCCAGTGCACCAACTGTTTCCACATCTGTCTGAATTGGTTACTGAATGTCCAACCACTCTGAAAACGTGAAGCCATCGCCCGTGGCGCTCGCCTGTAGGAGAGCAGGGTCCTCAAGCCTCTGCTCTTTTGACTTCATAAAACCACACATTTCCTCCTCCTTTTACAGTTCTTTTGTTTTCGATTGAAGGCCAAAGCTTTTTTGGTGGCCTCTCGGAAAATGTCTTCCACGTTCTCCTGATACTTTGCTGAACACTCGAGGTAGAGCTCTGCATTCATCTGTTGCCGGGTCTCCTCACCCTACACCCAAAACCAACCCAACATCAATACCAAGAATTAGACTGTATGACTGTGATATAAAGGTGATAAAGACAGAAAAATGTTCATTTGCGATAAGTCTATTATTGCATTGGAACCGCAGCAGAGTTAAATGTGGTCGGAGGTTCTGGTTAGGCTGCGCTTGCACATTGCAGTTTACATCCTGTAACCTCAAGCAAAAGTTTTCATAGATGAGTAAATGTCTGCACGCTTTGTCTTACCTGTGTGTAAGAGATGGGAGCCAGATTCATGGCCTTCAGTTTCCTTGAACACTCTTTGTCTTTCCTGAGGTCAGTCTTGCAGCCAATCAGGATGACCGGGATCTCCCGACAGAAGTGCTTCACCTCTGGGAACCACTGCATTAAAAAAAAAAAATTATGAAATGTCTCACACACTGGTTTGAGATATAATATATCTTTTTAACATTAGGATTACATTCTTCTCTTGGCAACATTCCTCAGACTGTAAGCACTGAGGAGAGAAAGTGCCTGCACAGTGTTGAGTCCTACCTGCATGCATGAGGTCAATGTCCATGATTGCATGAGTTAATCATAGCTAAAGGAATGCAGCCAACACCAACACACCAGGCTCCTAACAATCATTTACAATCATTCAAACAGCAAACCTGAAACTCCAGTTGAACAGTCACAATCTCGTTTCTCTTCACCTGCATGTGAAACGTGGCATGTTGTTAATGCCCTGTAGAATGATTACCTTTATCAGGACATTCTCAAAGCTGATGGGGTTGGTCACATCAAAGCAGACCAGAATCAAATTGGCCTCTTGGTACGAAAGCGGCCGTAGTCTGTCATAGTCATCCTGTCCTAAAAATAAAATAAAACAAACATGTGAAATATGGGTTAGGTGATAAATGCAGAATTGTGCAAACACCCATAAATTACTTCTTATGTGTGTAAATGCTGGGCAGGATTTCAAAAAAAAAAAATTGGTCTGAACATCAAGATGCAACATATGTTTCAAAGTTGGTGTAGATGTAGAAAACCACATCCTGGCTTCAGCTTCCTTTACCACTGATGTAAGGCAGCCTGCTGCAGTTATACAGAAGATAAGTTGCCACTCTGTCATGGGTTTTCCTGAAAACTGTGCAGTTAACATAAGAACTTCATGTTTTATGTCCCACAGAAATACCACAGGTTGTGAGATACACGTCAGCTTTGAGGTGAACTCAGTGTTGTTTAGGTACTACTAATACAAGATGGTGCCATTTTTGAAACTCTTCTGTGCCAGACATTTGGTGTTCAATTTTGTTAAATCCTAAATAAATAATACCAAAATAAATTAGAGCATCAACAAAATTCTGAATTAAAACCAATCAATATTAGATCCTGACACTTTTTTCAATCAATACTTCAGAATTAACGTTCTAACTTAGAAGTGATCTGTTATACTTTAATAAAATATAACACTCAAATATCAGGCTGGCTCTAATATTAGTCAATGGCTAAAATAAAAATACAATCCCAGCTGTTTGAAGTCACAGTGAAATGTAAAAAAAAGTTGTCTCCATAGCAGCTTGTTAATAGTTACTAATATGCAAACAATTAGTTCCTGAAAGATGCTTTTAATGTTGCTCTGACATTAACATCGACCTTTATCACTTCCTCCATGTCTCTCAGTGTCAGAACAAACAAGATCAAGACAGAATGCACTACAGTGTTAGGATGCCTGAATTTTATTTTCTTAAAAGATAAAAGCAATATGAAATAATGACCCCTACGGCAGTAACATCAACACTAATGTCTGAGTCAATATGTGTGCTCTTTATCTACACAATGTTTCTATTATATTCCATCCAGTGGACACAGTGTGTGGTCACTGCTCATCATGCTCAAAACCCTGTTGTCTTCTTTTCACTTGATGTAAAATGTACTGCACTGAGACTGATAACTGATTCATGGAGGTGATTTTTGATATGGAGACTTACCAGCTGTGTCATACAGGTTGAGCTGTATCTCTTTTCCTCCGAGAGAGATAGTGGTGACGTATTTTTCGAACACAGATGGCGCATATTTCTGTTTTTGACACACAAGAGAAAGATGTAGATTTTATGGTACAACTATGTATTGACATGTGTTGTCATTTCTGCACAATTTAAGCTACATTATTAAATGAGTTAACCCTTTAATATATGGATTCAGCTCACATTAATACACATACTAAATTAGGTTTGAAGAACAGGAGATCAGATGTTCAAATGTTAACATTATTTCAGTCTTTCGCTGGATAGAAAAATTATATGTGTACTAACAAATTAATATACAATATTAAGAGATGCGCTACAATACACGACATTGAAGCACCTCTTACCTCTGGAAAATCACCCTTAGCATAAACCATCAGAAGAGATGTTTTCCCGCAGCCTCCATCTCCAACAATCACAATTTTAAGTTCTTCTCCCTTTTTTGCGTTACCATTACGAGTCCCAGCACCGTTTTGTGTCATTTCGCCTCCAAACAGGTCAAACAAGTGCCAGGCAGGACAGGGCTGAAGATACTCCCTCTGGATTTAAGTCAAATACATGGCAAAGCCTGATGAATCTATATTTGGAAAGGCTGAGATGATTTGCAGGCAGTGTCGGGAGAGAGGAACAGACAAGCCTCATGTTTTACCAGGTAACTGTTCACCACTTCCTGTTCCTGTCTCACTGAAGCTGTTTCCAATAGATCACCCTACAGCTCTCTACCGTCCTATTGCCGGTCTTCTCACTGAAGCAGCATCTCTGTGTACAAATAACGCAGCAGCTGAGTTGCACATGTGGAGCATCTGAGTCCGCCTGCTCCAACTTCCTCTATTGCATGTGCTTGCCTTTTTCATTCTATGGGTGGGTACTCAATCTGAAGTACTGCCTCCATCCACAGAAGTATGCATGTGAGATAATGCCGCAAATGTTCAGTCCTAATGCTGAGGATAAGTCAACAAGTTTTGTTGAGACAGGCAGTAATCACTACACTGGATTCTTATCCATGAAGTCATGTGTTACCTGGAGACGGTCTGATGACAGTGAATGGGCTGAATTAGTGACTTGTACCTCCATTAGAGCTTCTTATGTTTGTGAATTTGTTTTCTCAGAAGCAAAAACAGGTAAAAGCATTGCAGCCCCCTCTTCCTTCTGAATGATGAAGCACAAATGCTAACATGGCCTGTAATAAACCAGATCCTTCAAATATACAATACCTATATGCATTTTGTTTTGGGTTACCCTTTTCATTGTGAGGTGTGAAAGTTTGAATCTTTATGGAATACTCCTTTAAAGGTAAAGGTAAATATCAGTATCTCATAATATAGAATATAAGTATAGAATTGTAATTGATTAAATTTAATAACATGAATTTAATAGATTTAAATAATGTTTTATACCACTCAGTATTTGACTATGTTATTGTTAAAACATGATGCTATGTTACTATCAAGGAAAGTGTTTTCCATTCTCGTGATAATTTTGAATCCACGGGGGTAGTTACAAGGAAGATGTCAGTCACACTCCTCTGTTCAGTCTGTATGGCTGAACACGGCAGTGACATCACAGGTTGGGCGTCAGGAATGACTTTTCTCTCTCGGTCCAGGGTGTAATTTACCGGCATCTTATCCAGCAGCAAACTCATGAAATGAGCAAAATAAAGGGACTGAGTTGGAGATAACATTGGGGGAGAATGTGTGTCACTTAGCACTACACCACTACACTACTACAAGATGTTTTTTAAATGGGAAACTAAAGGAGAGAAGCTGCTTTAGGGCATGACAAATAATTTATAAGCAATGACACTAAATGAGATTTCCCTTCAACAACATCTCTAATCAGGAATGAAAGATACAAATTAAGCCAAATGGACATGCAGTGTATTCTCTGTAATTACCTATAGACATTACATTTCATGCAATAACATACAATTTTTGATTTTAAGTTTGGGAATATGCTCCAACCATGCTAATAGTTAGTAGGTAGTAGGTAGGTTATAGTGGGTGTCAGGAGAGAGCAGGTCATACAAACTGAGCATGCATAATCAGAATACGTAAAAATGATTATTTCAAGGTTATTCTTGACTCAGTGTCTATAACATTTTTTCTGTCATTAAGGCAGACAAAGTCAAACCAGCGTAGGCTACAAGGTCAAATTTAAGGTTTAAATTTCAGTCACTGGTGAGAAAGGATGCAGTTAGTTGGTGCAGAAAATTTGAGCAAGCTGTCCCTTTAAGAGGATAAGCTGACACTGCCCTTCACTGTGTCTATTTTAAGAAACATGTAATCTTTCAAGTATTTTGCCTGAAAACATATGCACACATACTGGAACAACTAAATGAGAGTCTCACCTCCTACAGCCATATCGACCTGCAGCATGAACTATGTTCACTGTGTATTTTAATGTAGTGTGTATTCAATATGTCATGACAGGCTAAAATACTGTTTAAAAATATAGGCCTAATATAATGTCAAGTTTAAAAAAAATTGCAGTGTAAGTCCATCAAAAATACAACAATCTGCTTCAGTTTCCACAACAACAAAACAAAAATGAGTGTATAGTCTATTTATTTAAGCATCTCAGAAACACAGACAGGTGATAGTATTGCCAAGTAAAAGAGACTAAATGACAAACCATACTGTGGAATATTACACTAGTAATACACTAACATGCAGATATTTAAGAGCTAGAAAGAAGAAGAGCTGATGTTTCAAATAAAACAAATACAGTACCACCAATCTGCATGAAAAATCCTTGAATAAGCAAGTGTACCCATAAATAATCAAAAAACACAAAGCGCAGAGGATACCTCATTTGATTCAGGGAACAATCCGTCAGAATAAAAGGCTGGTCTTACAATGAAAAACAGAGAGAAAGTGCATGTGGCAGTTTGTCAGCCTGCCTGGTTTTTCTGACTCCAGAAAAATAGCCATACACCGTTCTCGTGTGCCCCATATGCTTTTACAATACGGTACTGTGTAGCACAAGCTATGAAAAATTGCTCTAGCCCATAATAATCTAAAAAAAGGAGTGCTTGTTTGACTCACGAGGTGAAACTGGTAGTATAACACATTAATAACCCTATAAAGGATATTAAATTGTCCTGTAGGTGTACAAAATATCCATACATGTAAAGCCCCCTTTCATCAATTAATAAACAAAGAACAATTGTCAAAAATAGTTATTCGCCGTGCAGAGAGACAGCTGTCCTGCAGAAGAGAGGCCAATCCTCTGTGTGGAATATTCCAGTCTGTCAGCGGCGCGCAATGTGGAATGGCGCAACCCACCGGGGAGGAGTTGTTTTTTTTAACAAAGGCCTATAAATAACCTCATTAAAGGATTTGAACGCAAAAGCCCCAACTAATGTTAAATGTTCACTATTGTAACACAAATAAAATCTCCACAATTTTGCCCCCAGTACACTGGGGGATGGGGGTCTATCAGGTTTGAGAGAGTGGAACGGTGTATACAGCCTCGTGACCTGCAAATGGAGGAGTGCGCGTACTTGGCAGCCGGAGCGAGGAGTGGATATCTAGAAAAACAGGCCTCTGACACACCGACTACGGTTTTTCCTGTGTCCTCAAACGCACTGTACACACACCACAACACAGCACGCAAAAGGCACAATGTAGTGGCACACCTGGAGACCCCTTTTGACGCAAACGAATAAAGACCCCCTCCCCTCTCTATTTTCAACTCCTTCGCCGAACAAGCGGTAGAATCGCATCTTGTTTGTTTGTATTATCTGGTCTAAGCACTTCAAACACACGATGACGGTGATCCAACGATCTTTGTCTCGAGCCAGAGAGAGAGCAGACGCGGAAGCCCGAAGCACCCCCCGGTGTTATTTTCACCCAGATACAAAACTACAGGGCTGCTGCAGAGGATTCCTGTTGACCTTATATGGCAGTGCGGGGGGTGCTGCAACACGCTCGAGCTCTCATGGCAACCGTCCAGAGCTCTCGGATTACTGCCGTTGCCAGGGCGAGTCAGCCCAGCAACCGACTCTGAATGCGTTTAATAACGTTTCCTTCCTCGTACGCACTGTCGACTGTTTTTCTTCTTTTTTTAAGTTCTTGTGAAACATAAACCATTTCGAGAAAATCACCCCTGTGTCGGTTGGTGTAAAGACTTCCCGCTGAATCTCTGAGAATCACCGAGAAATGTCCTCAGAAAAAAGCCTCTCTCCCCGAGCGAACGAGCCTCACCCAGTTATGGCGCAGCAACATTTTACAGCACAGTGCTCTCCTTTGTCTGTAAAGAAGCCATTTTGAGACAGAGAACAGCAGAGAAACCATTGAGCAAGTGTAGCCTACATACCACGATAAGGTGTCTTCGGACAAAGGGAAGCAGTGAAATATACGAGATTTCTCTCTATAAGATTCATTTTGCTCGTTTAAGACTTGGATTACATGTTTTGAATACTAACTGTAAGTTTACAATATCAATCAAAAAATATTGGTTACAGTTTTTTAAGCAAAAGTCATAATTTTGTTGATAACGTTTTAATCACAATTTATTGTTTATGTTGTCTGTCCTCTATGATAATTCTTAAATGTAGACATACAAACTGGTAAATTAAGTGAAATAGCTCAAAATCCATTACCTTTCAAAACAACATTTCCTTGTGGTTTTATATGATGTAGCTCAGTTAGAAATGTCGAAATGGAAGAGGTTATACTTGACTGCAATCCTGTCTTCAAGGAGAGAGAGGAGATGGTTTGCATATTGCCCACACAGATGATGCTTGAAGATGCATATTCGCTGGCAGAGAGGCAATGCCTACCACTGATCAAAAAGTTTTCAAAAGAGCTCTATCTTTCGTGCTAATGGATTCCTTCCTTTTCAGGAGACGCTTTCCCTCTCCTTATTAATGCCATTATTAAAGGATCCGAAGATGGAGCTGAAAGCATTCCTCCTGCCCCTGCCGTTTAGGCCTGTTAACTGCATTTCACCAAAGTGCTGAGGTAAATATTTTCACCATGAGAGTTTTCCCTCCATCTGTTTCCTCTCAAGTTTAACAGTCTATTTTTTTTTTTTTTTTTTATCTGTCGTAAAAATGTAAAAAGGCTACATGACTGGGCTTGTTTAGAAATTTAAATATGCCCTTGAAACAAGGTCAAGCCGACGTTTACACTTTGGACGTATTTGGTTCTTAAATGGCAAATGGACAGCACAAACCTAATCATGCTTGAAGTTGTCTCCACAGTTGTAGGAAGGGTACAACACAAGTCATCAGGGTGTTAAGCGTTGCTGTTGTGAGAGGAAAGTGTTTAAAGTCATTAATCAAAGCAAAGGGAATCAACAGTCAAAATTGCAGGCAGCACAATAAATTGTTTTGCAAACAGACCTTTAGTTATCCATGGCCTGCTTTCTGTCATTTGAGGTGCAGTGGTATATAATCTGGACTATAGGCTGTATATTTATATGTCAGCATGCCAGTGAACATAATAAATAAAGTTGGCTGTTACAAATGACACAATTTCTGTGATCAAATTGATAATAGCTGAATAGATACATTGACAGAAAATACTTTTAATAACAGTAACTGCATGCCTCACATTTTACATTACTAAATTATCAAAACTGTTAAATTATTATAAAAGAGTTGAACTTACTCATTGCTACTCATATCCTACAAGGCCATAAGTGCAATGCCAGCAGCCATTACACATTTGTCACTTTAACTGTGTTTTTTCCCCCCTAATTTAACATCTCCAAACCCATAAAGCTGTTTATTCACAACATTTGGTTTCTTTTCACTTAAGAAATATAAATACTATTATATGGGTGTGCCATGACCTAGTTAAGACAAAGATGGATTCCAGGCAGAGGAAAAAAGGCTCAAAATGTCACAGGGTATTACATCCAGTACATTCTCTTCCTTCTTCTCAATCCTTTAAAAGGAGCAATCATAGTTTTATCATAGTCCGTGAGAGATGAGGAAATCAAGTGTAAGATCCCTTTTGGAACAAAGGAAACCCATATAGGCCATTGAGTCCTGTTTTTTAGGAAAATGGCTGCCGAGAGCGCTCGGCCCCCTCTCTCTGCTCTCTGTTGAAGGACTCCTGAACCGTGCCTCTAATAGCAGACAGCTCCTCTGCTGCTGCGCTCTGATTGGCCCGCCGAGCTGCCGCTGTTAACCAGCCAATTGCCCGAGCACTACAAAACACCAGGCAATGTCAAACAAAATCCACTTTATTCGACACTTTACAGTTCGCAATAATATATACTAAATCAAAAATGAAAAATCCAAACGGGTTAAGATTATATGATTAATAAACTCCGCAGTTGTTAGTAAAAACGAGGACCGACACATGGGTTAGGGACTAGTTTGTTGGAGTGGATTAGACTGACAGAGAAAGAGATGTAACAAACCGCCGCATTCCAACGGTTATTAACGTTAGCCTGACTGTTTATTTCAACTCCTAACAACTGAGCTTCATATTAAAAATCCTACTCCTCGGTTAGACCTCTGACATTATCAGCTAGCAGTCGGCAACTAGGTCACAGCAGCGAAGTCCCGTTTGTTTTTTTCGTTTTCAGATATTCGTGTAGGGCTGCAGGTTTGTACACAAAAACCTGCGACCAATCCATTTTTATTAGCCTTCAGTGGCAGTTAAGAAGATATTGCCCCCTGTGTCTCTCCTGTGTTTGCCATTTGGGTAAATGCAGCCGGCAGATTCAACACAAAAACGATTATGAGGTTTAGCGACATACGCCTTTTACACCGCATACGATAATCTAATATATTAATAAGACGTTGCCAATTGAGTCTCTAAAAACTCTATGATTTTTACCAAGGCAACTACACCACTAAATGACCAGCAGAGAAAAATAAGTTTGCAACGAAAGTGCGACTAGCATCGGAGGTGGGCAAGCCTAGCGGTGTATTGTGGGAGAGACAGGAGCCACAGACCAGAGGCACACAATATGTGTTGGCTCTCGTTGAAAAGGAGGCAGTATTCTTCAAGCTAAATCATGTAATGTAAGCGGCGAAAGGAAAGCGATTTCGTCTTTTCATCAGTTAAAGAAAAACCACTCGATCGGACGAACCATGTCCAAGCCAGGGGAGAAAAACAGATTGAACGAAGACCATGGCAGAAAGCAGAGTTCAAGTAAGCTTGTTCTTTTTTTCCTCTTTCTCCAGCCCTCCTAATGCCTGTTTTCCGTAACTGGGATATACGCTAGATCCCGATTTCGCTCTCACTTGGGTTACCCCTACCACCAAAGTCATGCATCTGTATCGTTTGGCTGTGTTTTTTTTTTAAAGTGTTGGGGGCTGGTAACAGGACCGTGTTTAGCGTTGCCTCACGATAGCTCTTCTCTCCTTGTCGCTGCCTGTCGTTTCAGGTTTGGCGAACGGCATGGACAGTCATCCCGTCTGCGGCTCGGCGGAGAAGCGGAGTCACCACTGGAGAAGTTACAAGTTGATTATCGACCCGGCGCTGAAGAAGGGATCACACAAACTGTATCGCTACGATGGACAGACTTTCAGCATGCCCGTAAGTGGACCGCCTTTGACGCGGCGAAACGGCTACAATAGTAACCGAGTAGCCGACCTCCATGATAGGTAACAATGTGGCTGTGTTGCCGTGGCCGGCCACAGGCATGTTCCAGCATCCTAAACGACGTGTCGGAGGTGTTGTTTTTAATCAAACAACGCGCCCGGTTCGTGCAGGACGACTTTGCAACAAGTTAGTGGCGTGTGAAGTTGTGAATGGGATGGATAACAGCATTGTGTCCCCCCCCCTCTCTTCTCCTACAGAACCCCGGGATACCACCGGTGGACATCGTCCGAGACCCGAGGATCGGCCGTCTTTGGACTAAGTACAAAGAGACGGACCTGCCGGTGCCAAAATTTAAGGTATATACTCTGACATACAGTATGGTGCCAGATTTTTTCCTTGTGGAAAAGGGGTGCTGTCAAAAGTTGCAGACACACCCCCCTCACTCATCTGTGGGACGTCGAGTGAAAGTATGATTGTCGGAGGACTGATAAGCACCGAAATAACTTGCACCGCTCAGATGCATGCTTTATACTTGGACTTTAAATTGTGTTTTTAACACGACTGTCCGGATTTGCATGTTGATTGTAGCTACTCCGACACCATCGTTCTTATCTCAGCTGTCAGAAATGACCCCACGTGGTGCAACATTAACCCGAAAGCACTTAGAACATTAACTATCTTTCTCCTTCATCCAGATCGACGAGTGTTATATCGGCCCTGTGCCTCCAAAGGAGGTGACATTCGCCAGGCTAAACGACAACATCAGAGAAGGATTTCTTACGGACATGTGCAAAAAATTTGGAGAAATCGAGGAGGTCGAGATCCTGTATAATCCGAAGAACAAAAAGCACCTGGGAATTGCCAAAGTTGTTTTTGAGACTGTGAAAGCCGCCAAGGTGGCTGTGCAGTCGCTTCACAACACGTCTGTTATGGGAAACATCATCCACGTGGAGCTGGATCCAAAAGGTAAACAGTGATTCACTCATTCAAGGAAGAAGATGCGTAACCTACATTTATGCACGATCGAGCCTGTTTTCTGCTGCAGGAGCACTAAGTATATTTAAAGTGAAATGTTGCCTTGTTGATAATTATGAGGAGGACAACAGTCACGTGTGTAAATTTACGTGCGTTGCCTAGTAACGTGGGATAATTGAATTTCATTGAATGTAAGCCTGCTCCCATGAGCCCAGAGCTGAGGGTGCTGTGTACTCCCACTGTGCCTAATTTCAGACCTGTAAACAAACACAAACCAATCTGTCACATCCCTCCCCCTTACACTGTTTCTGTTCTGTCACTTTTAATAGAAATCACAGAAATCTCAGTTAGTTTTTAAGTCAGTAACACATTGTTAGCATTCAAAGTCTCTGCTGCTGGTTTTGACTGACACAAAACAGCAACTTTAATTCATCTTAAGAAGATGTTTGACTGGCAACAGTTTTGCACGTGTGCTCATTTAATCAGAGAAAAATAATGGCTGATTTTTTTAATTACAATGTGTGCAGTTTCATTGCCAGCATAAGTGCTATTTTCTTGAATGACTCCCATAAATTTATTTTTTCTTTCCATAAATTGTCAATAAGATGTTTCAATAAGTTTTTATAAGGAATATAGCTAGTGAGTGTTGCATTTTGTGTATAATATGTATGCAAAGTTTTACATGTTTTGGACATGTTATTATGCATGTATGTATTGCAGACAATGTTTCTGATTATCGTATGTGCATTAACAATATTTATTGCACACTAGTTCATATGTTGGCAGGCATGAACATTGTTTTCAAAATAATGTTTACTCAGAGGGAACTACTTAAATATATGTTACCCATTTACAACTGTTTAGTTTTGTGTTCAGCTGCTATTGAATAATCACTGTTATTATAATCACGCCAGATTAGTTTTAATAAAACCCACTGGCATTAAGCCAGCTTTATAAACTTGGCAGCAGATCCACTCATGCTTGCTGTTCTGTAGGTGAGAATCGCCTTAGGTACTTCCAGCTCCTGATGAATGGCAGCTACACTCCAAGGACCCTGCCCGTTGGTGGAGAGGAGGCCAGAGAAGTTTCTCCTCGTAGCCTGGCAGAAGCCCTACTGGTAAAACCCCTTTTGAATAATATTTAAAAGTTTTTTTTGCTCATAGTTGTGGTTTATTTGAAATCACTACCTAAACTGTGTCAATGGGAGTTGGATAATAACACATTTTAGTACAGTCTCTATTGTTTTCTTGCAAGGTTAGTCTGGAGAACAGTTACATATTATTGTGAATTTGGGATTACTGAATTGTAGTGTTACTTTGTAGAAATGAACCAATTTGCCAATCTAAGCTGACATACTTATCTGTAATCCATTTTATTGGTACAGCAGGTGGTGGAGTAGAGCAGAGGAAATGTTATCCAGACACTTTAGCCTGTGGACTGAAATCACAAAGCCACTGAAATGTGCACTTTGGCCTCGTAGCATGAGATCCTGCAGGCATTGTGCCTAGATACTCTTATCCAACAGCTTGGTCTCAGAATTGATCCTTGCAGGTGTAAACTGTGAAACCTTACTATTACTCATTTTGGAAAAATTGTCCCACTATTTTTCATTACCTTCTAAGTTGCAACCCAGAGACAATTTTAGTGTGGTTCTCAGTATTTGTGATGGTAGAGGTTTGTCTTGCCACTGACATGTTGTTTGCCTCTTCACAAACAGGATCCTATCCGCAGGTTGTCAGAGAGCAACATGTCAGCTGTGGGAGCAACATTGCCACCCAGCAGCTCCACCACTCCTTTGTCCCTGGAGACAGGCTACTCCAGCCTAAGGCAGGACACACCCCAGTCCCAGGGAACCCCTCATACCCCACGCCAGTCAAGTACGCCCTTTTCTCAAGACTCCAATTACTCTAGTCGGCAGTCCACGCCTGCATACCAGTCCAGCCGGCCCGAGAGCTCCGGAGGATACAAATCCCGGAGACACGAGAGTAAGTTCCAGGATGCGTACAACCGCAGACCGGAGAGGCCTCAGTACCGCAGCAACATGTACCGGAGTACAACGTCTGAACAGGCTCCCTTCAAACAGCACCAACTCACCCCACCTGAACCCCCACCCTCAACTCCCTCCTTCCCCTACACAGCACCTCCCCCTGCTACGCCCAACTTCAAGTCTGCCTTCTCGCCCTACCAGGCTCCTTTGCCCCCTGCGTTCCCCCCGTCAGAGCCGGCTTTCCATCACCCAGCCCAAAGGGAGGGTGAGTACCTCCGACCACCCCAGCCGCCTCTGGCAGCTGCCGCTGACTTTTTGCCAGTCAAGGAGAGACCAGAAACTCCTCCGATCCCCGAGCCCCCACCTGAGCCAGTGCCCCATCCGACCACCCCTCCTCCTCAAACACCAGAACACTGCCCCTCACCTGGCTCCCCCACGCTGGATCCAGAGCGCAATAGCCTGGATTCCCGCATTGAGATGCTCCTCAAAGAGAAAAGGACAAAACTGCTGCCGTTCCTGGAGGAGCGAGACTCGGACACTGAGGTGCGAATGGAGGGAAGTCCGA